AGGCTGACGAGGCACCAAAGTTGGTTGTAAGGTGAGCTCCACTGGAGCAGCTCCTCTGAAGTGCCACCATGCTTGCACTTGCACTTGCACTCGCACTCCCATCCACACTCGCCATGGAACGCTCACAGTTCGACCCATCATCTTTCTTCTTCTCCACACGTCCGCCACCTGATCCCAAGCCACCCATCACTGCGGCAACACCAGAGGGCAGTGTACCCTCTACAGGAGCAGTAAAAGCAACCACAGCATTAACAGCACCAGCAGCACTGGCAGCACCGGCAGCACCGGCAGCATCAGACGCACTGGCAGCACCAGCTACACTGGCAGCACCCGCAGCAAAGGCAGCACCAGCACTATCGCTAGACTGCTCCCCGGAGGACAGCTCCCTGTCATCGCCGCCGATGACTTCAACAACGTTGCTCGATGTGCCCTCGTCGAACTGCTCCCCTGTCATCCGCTCCTCTGAAGCGAGCTCCTCATTTGACGGCTCCTCTAAAATGTGCTCCTTGTTTGACGGCTCCCCTATCGACGGCTCCTCTGAAACGCGCTCCCCGTTCGACGGCTCCCCTATCGACGGATCCTCTCAAACTCGCTCCCCGTTTGACGACTCCCCGTTTGAAGACTCCCCGTTTGAAACGCACTTCCCGTTCGACGGCTTCCCTCTTGGCGAATACTTCTCTCCAACGCCGACTTGCTCACCGATCAGATCACGTCGACCACTAGTGATGCCGATGGGCGGAGCCGAAGGTGACGCAAGAATGCCCTTCTCATCGCTGGCGGTCAACGTCGATGCCGACTTAGGCAGCCCGGCGGCGAGCGATAGGAGGGAGGCGGGAAGAGGTGGCGGAGCGTTCGAGGAGGACGGAATGAAGGGAGCGGGATCGTCTGATGGACCGACATCCTCGGCGGCGAGCAACTCAATCGCCGCAGGCGATGGGCCCGTTAGTGGAGAAACCTTCGTCCGCTCCAACAACGGACCATGCTCCGCCTTTCACTCCTCTAGAGACATCGTCTCGTAGAGGTAATCAAGGCGTGATAGAGGGTAGGCCTATCAAAGATTTCGTGCCACCCCTCTGAAATGTGCGGTTCGCAAAAGTTTAGATTCAGACCAGCCCTCAATATGGTATGACTCATCACACATCAACAAAATTACTCTGAAAATTAGACATCGCAAATATAACTCGTTTGAGAATCAGACTTGGAAAAACAGAATATTCAGAAATTCAGACTAGGCTCTACAAAGTGGTCAGAATATCAGAAAATCATACCATTACGGTCCGGAAAAATAGGCCCTGCCGGTGATCATGCGATTGGAGCGGGGCCGACTCGGGAGTGGTTTCGATGAGAAATTGTAGGCCGAACATGAGGGTCGTGTGGCCCTTGGGATGTACTCGCTACAGGGCGAGTACAGCAAGGAATTGTAATTTCTTACCATGGTACTGTCATAAATTTCAGATATGTACCTGTGACATAACTAGTGTAGCTATTACAGTTACACCTGTTTTCAGGCCCTTAGACCCCTATTGAAACCCTCTTCTTCCTTAGACCCCTTACTAGCCTCCTTTTCTCCTATTTTCCTAGCCTCCTTCTTCCTTACTAGCCTCCTTTTCTCCTATTTTCCTAGCCTTCCTTACACCTGTTTTCAGGCCCTTAGACCCCTTACTAGCCTCCTTCTTCCTTACATCTGTTTTCAGGCCCTTAGACCCCTTACTAGCCTCCTTTTCTCCTATATCCTATTCAATAGATAATCACACACGACAATGAGATGCGACTAAGGAGAAAGGAGATTATGATGCCTAAAATACCCTTGGGAGAATGATGTATTTTGCTAGTCAAGAAGCATAGTACCGTAACATATATATTTGAAAATAACATTACTTGCCCTCTGATAAGTTCGGATGAAATTTGGACGTTACAAGGCCGAATATAGGTCTACATGCGTCAATGCTGCTTCAAGTGATGCTTCAAATGATACCTGATTGCTCCCCAGTAGACTCTTCCTCCATGCTCTTAATAGCTTCCAACATTGCAGCCAAGTTATTCGGATACGACATTCCACTTCGCATCCCCTCTGCTTGCTCATCCACCTTTACCGCTGCACTCAGCACCTCCTTCCCCACCACCTCGTGCCTGATTCCCTGCAGCTCGTTGGCAATGGTGGCCATGCTGGGCCGGCTTGCAGTGCGCTGCACAGTGCAGCGCAGAGCCAGCTGGGCCAGGCGCAGCACAGCATCATCCGGGGCGTCCATGTCCTGGTCCTTGAGGAGGGTGGGGTTGTTGGACGAAACGCAATCCTCCACCTGACGGGTTGAACAAGGGGGGTGGGGATTGGGGCAGGTACATGGAATGGCGCAGCACATCATCGTCAAACTTGTCCATGCTGAGGTCCAGTCAGATTGAGTTGAGAAACAAGAGGCAGACTGGGTCGTTGGAGGATGTTTAGTTGAGTTGAGCAACATGAGGGCACACCTAATGCATGCGTACACCTGAGGTGTATAGTTGGCAAGAAGAGTTTGTGGGACGACAGGAGGGTAGCTGAGGCATACCTACACCAGACAGATTGAACAATGTGGGTGCGGATAGGGACAGTCAGGCACAGAAGTGCCAACATGCAATCATGCGATGATGCCATCCTGCTATCATCTTCATCGTGCCACCAACTTGCCTGGCTGAAAGCAGCAAGTGCTGTGCTTTGCGGAGACTGATTGAGTATTTTACACTACAACCCTGCTATTGCATACTTGCCACGAAGCAGAAACACCTCCCTAGTGCAGGTCGTGGTTGTGCGAGCTAACGACAGAGCCAACTTGGAAGTCACTATGTGTGCTGCACATAAAGCAGCAATGCGGAGACCGTGAGTGTTCGTGCCACCCACTTAGGCAGAGTGCTGCTGCTTGTGAACCGACTGCACCTGCCACAGTGACATCTCACATCTAAGCAATGCAACATACCCCACCACACCGCACACGAAGCAGCAGCACCTACCCATCGCAGAATGTGGCCGTTCTTTTCACCCTCGGAAGAACGGGGGCTGCGACCGGTGATCACCACAAGCATGAGCACACCGAAGCTGCACACACAAAGAAGGGAGGAGGGTAGCAAGCAGTGCACAAGGATTTGCTGCGTTGTGAGTGCTTCAGCAACCACGAGCATGAGCAAAGCAAGCAAGCACTTAATGAGCACAACGAGCGCAAGCATCAGCAAAATGTCACGCATTGACCTACGTCTATTTTTTTAGGCACATAATAGCTGCCTCATCAAGAGAGCGATGTCTAACAGTTGAGAAAATGTTCACCTGCTCCTAGTCCTATTTCACCTAATGACAAAAGTACCTCACCTGTACACATCGGTGGCAGTGGTGGCCTTGGACGTGCGTGAGTAGATGGGATCCACATAGCCTGGTGTTCCCATAACCCGAGTCGTGCCCACTGTGGTGCCCTCGCCCACCCTCAACAGCCCAAAGTCACCGATCTTGGCCTGTCGGATGATGTAATAGTTGAAACAGGGACAATCATGCTAGAGAATAAACGGGACAATGCCTTGTATCTATTATTGTCTTAAAGCCGTTGGCCCAAATTGCACAAGTTTTAAATGGTTGACGGGGAGGAAGTTTTCTGTTTGGGGTGTGGCGAGAGGTCCTATTTCGTCAAATTTGTTTTCTTCGCAACACACAGCCAAAAACGCGTCTTCCCACTGGTAGGAGCTCGAAAGTCCCAAATTGCAAGTGAACGTTTTTCAAGTTTACAAGCTCCTGACCGTCAAGTTTTAAAAGCTTGACCCACGCGCCTCGCAATGTAGGACTCGGGCTTTAAATCGTCCATTAAGATTTGCTTAGTTGTATGTAATGTACTGAACTTAACAATGACACTGTTCACTTCACGAGCATGTAACAAGGTACACTGGAGTTGCTAGAATGATCACCAGAGAAGGCGAACAGGTAAAGAGGCTTGTCGGATGTGGTTGTGCTGATACATAAAAAGAACACGCACTTTAGGCACACAGAGGAGACGACTGTGCTTACAAGAGAAACCCACTTGGTGCAAGGAACCAACTACTCCCTTCAGCTCTTGCTCTAAACAATTTCTGCTAACTTCTTCAAAACTGGTCTTCACATTTCAGAAATTTTCATTAATTCAATCAAGGTATAGTCACTACAAAATTGACTTCCCATTGCACTCAACACACCTTTCATTGTGTGTGCTTGCAAAGCGCTTGCGCGCCAGCATGTTTGCTCGAGAAGGACGCTGGTGAATGTGATGTCTTACGTCGACTAATATACACACTTGCCTAGGATGCATGTATGTGGTGCTTAAATACCACTCCATGCATGTATACGTTGCTTGCCTGGATGTTTTCCCCAAGATGGATGTTGGCCATAGGCATGAGCAAGTAGTCGAAGTTTAGGACAAACCGGACCTTATACCACTTTGCTGCCGAACAAGTTAGCAACCTCGCATCACAATGCAAAGCCTTGTATTGAATGAAATCTGTCCAGCACTTCCCATTCTCCCAACCCTACCACCCGAAGTTGACGTGGGCGGAAAAGGAGAAGTTCGCGTTCGCGCAATTTGAGCCCGCCCATGGGGACATCTTGGAGGCATTGAACAAGTATCTTAGCCCCTTCACCAAGGTCTCCAAGGCCACTGAGAGGTCGGCGTACCCCACGTTGTCGATGGTGGCGCCGTTCTATAACGGCCTCATCGACAGCTTGAAACACGCCTCCACAAGGGACCATCGGAGACGCTCCGTCCCATGATCATCGCAACACTCGACCACCTGAGGAAATACTACTGCGCCAATATCAGCGAGTAAAGGATTGCCACCTACTTGGATCCGTCCACGGACGCAGCGTATTCCAACACGGACCACTGGGAGAGGTTGCATCCCAGGGAGGTAGAGAAGGTGAAGCCATGGAGGTGATTTGGCTGGTCCTTGAGTGCTCTGAAAAGTACCAAGCCACAGCTGCACGGCTGGCTCCCCAGCTGATGCCATCAGCACCAATGGTCGAGCCGGGGACAAGGGGGGAGGAGGAGGAGGAGGAGGAGGAGGAGGAGGAGGAGGAGGAGGAGGAGGAGGAGGAGGAGGAGGAGGAGGAGGAGGAGGAGGAGGAGGAGGAGGAGGAGGAGGAGGAGGAGGAGGAGGAGGAGGAGGAGGAGGAGGAGGAGGACGATCAGTTTCATCCTAGCCGCGGGCGACTTTTCGCTCGCGTGTCAGCGGGTCAGGCAGCGGGAGAGGGTGAGATGGTTCAGGATGATGAGGTCGTTAGGTACATGGAAGAGCGGATGTGGTTGGACATGGACAATGCCGCGCCACGGTACTGGTGCCATGCTCATAACATGACGCCATTGTGGCAGATGGTGAAGGACAATCGTGTTATCCCATCCACGACAGTGCTAGTGAGCAGGTGTTCTCCATGGCTGCAACCTTATGTTGTAGAAGCAGCACTGACTGAACTTTGAGCAAGTGCGAGCTTCCATGACTCTCAAGTCATGGTATGGCTCGCACTTGGGCCAGAGGATTGGCAAGGCTCGCAGAGTAAGAGGAGCACCACTACCGAATCTCGCAGCCAAGGGAGAGGGGTTGGAGGCGGAGGATGAGGGGAGGAGGCGGATGCTTTATTGGATGGGAGGATAACTGGTGGTAGCTCCACCGTGCCATAGAAATTTTGTGCTTACATCGCATTCTATGTATATACTGTGAGCTGAGAATCTTATTGTTCCAATTTCACCCGCTGTAACTTGTCGTTTCATCCGTTCACTCCCAACCACCCCCTGGGTATAAACACTCTACTCAGAATTCGGAACTCACCTTTTGGGATGATGTGACTATATGAACGAATGCTGCTGTTTTGTCGAACACAGACATGTTCGAGCTCGGGGCCAACATCTAGGTGTTTGATTTTTTAGAATGTGTCGGGCAAACAAAAACATGTTCAGTCTAAACCCAATGTACATGTTCTTCATGTTCAAACAGAACATGTTTGTGTTCGCCATTTGTTCATGCCTAGTTGTTGGGTTTGATGTCTTGCGTCGACTCAAAACACACTTGTTGACCCAAAGCGCTTCCTTGCTTGCCTGCATGTTTGCTCCGAGAAGGATGTTGGCGGGTTTGATGTCGCGATGCACAAGGCCAAAGCCGTGGAGGTACTCAAAGCCACGTGCCGCACCAATGAGGATGTCCAGCCGCTGCTGGAAGGTGAGAGTGAAGGACGCCTCTGCACACATGCACAGGACATGAGAGTGGCGGACCATGAAAAATGATGAACCATGAGAGTGACAGACCATGGGCCATACAAAATCAGTGACAAATCATGGTGGGTGACACAGTGAGTGACAAAAAAAAGGGGTTTCAGAAGTATGTGGGCTACATACCCTTCTTAACAAACTGGTCAAGGTCCCCGTTGGAAACAAACTCGTAGATCAGGATTTGCTCTGGCCGTGTCCTCATGTCCCCTCCAACAGCAAATCCAAGCAGCCGCACGATGTTGGGATGGTTCTTGTCGGTCATTTGTTGCACCTGCGAGGAAAATTGTAGAAATGCATAAGAACACATCAATGCATGATGAATGACATGAGGGACAAGACTTAACAAAATGGTTCTCACATAGCACAGCAGAATGCAAGAGGCATGCCATGGCAAAATGCATGGAGACCCAATGCGGAACAGTTTCTCAATGATTACCTAGCAGTTTTGCAGCCAAAATGGAAAGGAAAAGGCCCATTCAACGAACATCATTACTCCATCATAGCACGAACTTCTCCCTGCAAATCCACATCAAGTCACACCCGCTTTTGAAACTTCTCAGATTTAACCAGATATGAATCGACCCACCTCTTTGAAAAAATCCACGTCAATCAGTTTTGCTCGCTTGACGGCCCACAGGGTGGTGCCGTCGTCTGGACACATGCCCTTGTACACGTCACCAAAGGCACCCGAGCCAAGCTGGTTGTCAGGTGACCAGTTGTTGGTTGCTTTGAGGACTTCCTCTAGAGTGTACTCCGTGCATTGAGCACCCGACATGCTGCGAGCTCGGCCTGTGATAGTGTGGGGTGAAAAGAGAGTTGACGACGTGTGTTAGAGTGGGGTGAAAGGGGTGGGTGCAACTGTTGATAGAGTGGTGAAAGTGAGTGCGTGGGGTGAAAAGTGTGAATGTGAGGTAGGGGTGAGCAAAGGGCGAACACAAACATGTTCGTGTTCGCCCCAGGATAGTGTTTGGTGTTCGCCTGTGAAGGCAAGCACCTAGCTGCCACGGGCGAACACAAACATGTTCGTGGCAAACACGTTCGTGTTCGCCCATAGGGCATTTTCACCATAGTCACATTTACACACACTGGCCAGATCTAGATTTGGACCCTGCATAATGAACAGTAGGGGGGTTGTGGATGTTAACGTGTTAATGCAATGCACCAAATCCGTATCAATGCTATAAAAGGTCCGTGGACTAACCTTAAGATGATACTTTGACACCCTCTAAACACTAAGGCTAAGGCGCTTAGGGGAGACCAGGGGCGGGCGCGTAGGAAGATGTGAGTTTGAGCTCATAAAATGAGCTCAAACTCAATTTGGCTGCGACCTAAATTTGGTCGCGGCCAAATTCGTCGACAAACATATGGTGTTCGTGTTCGTGTTCGACTCGACTCGGCCAGCTGGGCCAGACGAACCTCGAACATGTTCAGGCGAACATCGAACATGTTCGCCCCGAACATTTTTGGCCAAAAAAAAAGCCGGTTCGGTTCGCCTCGAACATGTTCGAGGCGTTCATGACTTTGCTCACCCCTAGTGTGATGGGTGATCGTGCGGGGTTAGGTGAATGGAAGCAGAGGCCAGGTGTAAATACGACCATGCCAGCCGTGTTAGAAATGTATTTAGTGTAGCATGCCAACACTTGTGACTGTACACCAATTGTGGTGTACAGTTGGGTTGGGACTACACCCAACTTTGGGTGTAGTCTTGCATTGTGGGGTGCCAATCCACCCAATTGTGGTGGAGCCCCCAAATGCAACCCACTTGGCTTATGGTTGCCTCACTTCCCACAAGTGAGGTCAACCCAACTCAAGTGGGCCTAAGGTTGCCTCACTTCCACAAAGTGTGGGCAACCCAACCCACTTGACCTATGGTTACCTCACCCCTTAAGTAAGGTCAACCCAACCTATGGTCATCTTCACCCTTCCCTTCCAAGCCTCTCTTCTATCTATGTATGCGAAGCTTCTCCCCTAATAAATTCACTTGTTCAATTAACAACTTTCACATGGTATAGAGCTAGTTCTTTCTTGGCCCTTACCTTTCCCTACCCTCAAGTTTTTTTTTTTTTGGGCCCACCCTACAGTTTCAAGCTTCCTTCCACCGTGGCTCTACTAGCCACCGTTAGCACGCCTAACCTCCGCGACCTTCAAGTCCCCGCCTTCCCCTCTCCCCGTCGCGATTGTGCTCTCCTCCTCCCCTCCCTTCATACAACCGCTGCGGGTCCACCCGCCATTGCCCTCTCCCCTTGACCGCCGCGGGTCCACCCGCTGCCGTCTCCCTCGTGGCCGTCGTGGGCCACCCGCCGCCGCCCCTCATGGCTACCAATCCTCCTGCCCCCCTCCCCCCTCCCATCGATGCCTCGTCCGTCGACAAACTCCAACTCGCTGCGGATCGCTCGGCCGTCAACTGGCACTCCTTCGTTGGCAGCGTTCGCCGCGTCCTCCAGGATGCCTTCATCGGACTTTACTGCGTCCTCGACGTCCTGCTTCGCCACCCGCATGCCCTCCAACCAACGCCCCCCACTCACCCTGGTGAACCTCCTCCTCTCCCTCCCCCTCCTGGCCCTCCTCCTCCCGAGCCTGACCTGCCACGTGCCGCTACTCCCGAGCTCCAAGCTGCAGCTGATGCCACGTTTCTCCACAACCGCCGCAAATACCTCATCCGCAAGGCCGCCCACGATGCTGCAGTGCGCGACTACGAGTTCGCAGCGGAACCGAGCCAATCGCCTAGCCATGATTGACGAGTACAACGCGGCCATGGCAACCCACATCCTCAACAGCATCACCTGGGCCTAGGCATGATCATAGTGCCCCGGCGGGTCGGGTCGACCCGACCTGACCCGGGTTTTGACCCGGGTCGGGTCAGAGATTTTGACGCGCTGACCCGGCCGGGTCGGGTCGACTCGAGACCCGAAACCGGGTCGGGTCGGGTCGGGTCGGATTCCGACCCAACGTTGCACCCGACTCGGTTTCGGGTATCGCGCCCTAAGTCGGGTCGAGTAATTGGCTCGACCCGACATTTCCCCTATCAACAAATTGAAGAAAAGCAGATCGCGAAGTCAATGTCTAGGGTTTCTTTGTTCCCTCGACATTGACATCGATCTGCAATACCTAGGTAGCTAGCAAGCAATATTTCTCAAGCACTACTACTCTCTAAACCTGCGCCAATGTTTAGGAACACCAATACTAATGTTTCCATGTTGGCGTAAGGGTTTTTAACCTAGCGCGACCAGGCCTAGATGTTCGATTTTATAGTAGTAGTTATTCTTAGCTCTCACAAGCGACTAAATTCTGGCCCCGCGTTCTAATCGCCCCCTGCGCGCCTACCAGGCCCGCATCAAAAGGGACGCGACCCCCATAGTCTAGGGCTACGCACTTCCTCTAACGCCGCGACTCCACTTTAAGCAAACGTTCAATCTTTGCAACACTGGACAGTAGTGAGGAGAACCTCTTACACTGCATATGGGGTTCTGGCCCGACCCGACCCGACCCGGCCCCTACCCGACCCGACCCGGGGGCGGGTCACGCCTGACCCGGCACCCGATACCCGGGTCGGGCCAGGATTCCTAGAAGTTCCAACCCGACCCGACCCGACCCGGAACCCGGCTGGCCCGCCCAAGTCGGGTCGGGTCGGGTCGGGTCGGGCCTAATGATCATGCCTACCTGGGCCGCTGCTGACGACCGCGCCTGCACCATCCTCCTTGTTGCACTTCCCAACGACCTCATGCGCCGCTTCCAAGCTCGCGAAATGCGCGCCCACCTGATTTCGTCCGAGCTCCAGTCCATGTTTGAATGTCGCGACATCAGCTCCGTCGGCGTCCTCTTCCAAGAATATTTCTCCATAACCCTTGCCACTTGTGATGGAGCAGTCGACTACGTCGGGCGAATGCAGGAAGTCGCCGATCGCCTCGCAGCCCGCCAGGCTGCCCTCCCAGAAGCACTGCAGATTCACCGCTTACTCTTCAATCTCACCCCAGAATACGAGTCTCGCCTCCACGCCTTCACCGAAGCAAACCCCTTTGCTAGCCTTCATGAGGTTGCGCAGTGGATCATTGACACGGAGGTCAAACTCCGCACTCCCATCGTCAACCTCACCACCCCTCAGTCCTCCTCCTTCTCCCTCAATGCCACGCAGCAGCGCGGTGGTCGCAACGGCAGCAGGGGTGGTCGTGGGGGGGGCGGAGGTGGAGGTGGTCGGGGCAGAGGTGGTGGTGGTGGCAGTGGTGGTGGCCGTGGTGGCCGTGGTGGTGGTGGTAGTAGTGGTGCTTGTGGCACCCTTGCTGGAGGACCTTCCGGAACCGGTGGTGCTGTGACTCGAGGCGGTCGCCCTGGAACTCTCCCCCCATGCATGTATGTTCGCCGCCATGGTCCCCATGCTGGTACTCCTTGCGGTCAAACCAACCATCCTCCTATCACGTGCTTCAAGGCGCTCGATGACGCCTAGTTTGATCGAGGCAACACTGGCACCCCTCCTCGCTGGAACACTGTCACCCCTCGCCCCTCCTTGGTAGATCTTCAGACCCTCCCATCCTTCCTTCTTGCTCACCTCCGCCTGGTTTCCCCCTCCCCACCCTCCCAACTGCAGCAGTTTCAGCAGCACCAGCAGCAGCACCACCAGTACTTCCAGCAGCAGCAACAGCAGTCGCAGTTTCTCCAGCCGCAGCAACAGCAGCCCCAGCAGTCGCAGTTTCTCCAGCCGCAGCAACAGCAGCCCCAGCAGTTCTTCCAGCCACCGCAGCAGCAGCACCCGCAGTTCCTTCCAACGCACTGGCACCAGCAACCAATGACCTTCGGCACAGCGGCCATGGCCGCTCATGCCTCTCTTGCTCCCCCCCCCCCTGGGGTTCTCCCCCCGTGTCCCCGACACTTCAGGTAGTTTCCTTGGTCATGATACTGCTGCACCATCTGTCGCTTCCATGTATCCCTCTGCTACCAATGAAACATCTTTTCAGTACCCGGTGCCACCTCCCCCTCCTTCCTCCTACGTTGGATTATACGCTTTGGACCCTTTGCGTTTAGCGTTTGTACGCTAGCGTGTACACGCAAAACGCAAAACGCTAACGAAAACGCTATACGCAGCCCAAATATTCTTTAGGGCAGCCCGCCGACCAAAAAAAAATCGGATAGCTCAAACGACGCGGAAGGGCACGACGAGCAAATCTGCGAAGTCAGATTGCACGTCCGCGGTCTGTGCTGGCGGAAAAGTGGCTTTATGTGTTGGTGTCGCGTTTGCCTGCGTTTGCCTAGTCTACTAAACTAGGTAAGTCTGTCGAGATGTGGGGGGGTTGGATTGAGAGGAGTAGTTGTGAGTTGCGTCTAGCTGTTTCGCGAAAACAATCCGCCAACATTTTGACCCTCCGCAGGTGATTCGCCAGCAAGGCACGACAAATTTCACCCACTCGCCGATTTCGCGAACGGTGGAAATTGTGGTGGTTGGGTACAAATGTGTTCTCAGATCTGAACCCAACCATTTCCCGCAATTTCTAAGTTAGGGTTACGGGATAAGATTCCCGCATCGTCGACGAGTATGAAAAACTCCCCCGAGTAGCCGAAAATGCTCACCGCATTATGTTTTGCCCTGCCTGGGGAACTTTTTTTCCTGCACGGAAAAGCGTATCCTTGATCAGACCCCTCCAGCGTATAGCGTGCAAACACTAGCGTATATACGACACGCGTATATACGCTAAACGCGTATAATCCATCATAGCCTTCCTCCCCCACCCTGGACTTCGTCCTTGATAGTGGGGTCACTGAAACCGCACTAAAAGACGCTGGCACCCTCACCCCCCTACCACTTCCCACTCAAGTTCATGGAGTTGATTCCAGCTTTTCCATCCCATGCACTCACCTCTCCACCCTCCCTTGCACTGCCTTCCCTTCCGGTAAAGTCACAAGTCTCCACATCCCCACTCTCCGCAACAACCTTATCTCCCACCGTGAGCTCCAAGGTGTTGGTATTACAGCCATTTACCTGGGCTTTGCTAACTACTGTGATCTCTACCAAACCTCCTCTGGTCGCTTATTTCTCCGCATTTCGCTTTGTCCTTGCACTCGCCTCTGCACGCTCCGCACACCTCGTCAATCTTTCTCTCACGTCACCACCCGTGCCGATACCTCCACCGGTCCACCTCCCCCTCCTCCTCCTCCCCCTCAGGTATCCTCCTCTCCTACCCCATCATCCTCCTCCTCCCCTCCCATTCCTTCCATCACCCCGTCTCCCTCCTCCTCTACTACCCTCTCCCACCCTGCCGTACTTTTGCACCACAGACTCGGCCACCCCAACTTCACCGCACTTCGCACCACAGTCACCTCTCGCCTCCTTCGCAGCCTTCCTCCCGTCTTACCCCCCTTCCCCTCCTCCCCCTCTCCCCCTTGCTCTTCATGCATCCACGGCAAGCTCAAACAGTCAGCCCACCACAGTCATCCAACCTTCGCTGCTGCCCCCATTGACCTTGTTCACATGGATCTCTGGGGCCCCTATCCCATCCGCTCCCGCCAGGGGCACATGTACATGCTGGCCTCGTCGACGACCACAGTCGGTACTCCACCGTCTTCTTTCTTCACACGAAAGGCCAAGCGCTGGCTGTGGTCATCAACTGGGCTGAGCTGTGCCGCAACCACTTCAAACGCCCCATTGGCCGCCTTCACACTGTCGATGGGGGTGAGTTCATCAATCATACACTAGCCTCTTATTGAACGACACACGGCATTCAACAGACCTCCACCCTCCCCCACTCCCCTCAGCAAAATGGCGACACTGAGAGTCGCATTCGTGAGATCACCAAAATTGCTCGTTGCCTCCTTGCTCATGCTTCCACCCCTCCTTCCCTCTGGAGCTATGCCCTCCTCCACGCCGCCCTTCTCCTTAACCTCCGCTCCCACCCTCAGCATCCCTCCTTTTCCCCCACAGAGTTCTAGTCCAAGGCCAAACCTGACGCTGCCGGCCTTCGTGTTTGGGGCTGTAAGGCCTTCGTCCTCATTCCGCCCGCCGACCGCTCCCGCGCCGCTGGCAAGCTCGCTCCTCGCGCCTTGGAGTGCGTTTACCTTGGGCACAATCGCGACTCCCCAGGCTACCTGTTCCTCCATCCTCCCACCAATCGCCTCATCCGGAGCAACGACGTCGTCTTTGACGAGTCCTTTCCCTACTACTCCACTCCTCCCCTTGACCCTCTCCCTCCTCCCACTCGCTCCCTCGCTTGGACAGATACCGTCCTCCCACCTCTCCTCCCTCCAGCGCCTCTCCTCCCACCTATTGCCGCTCCGCTCCCGCCTTCCTCCTCTGCCGACGTCTACGACCCCGCCCACTCAGCTGCACCCCCTCCTTCCCCTCCCTCCTCCTCTCATTCTCCCCCTTTGCAGCAGCAGCAGCAGCAACCGGGGCAGCAGCAACAGCAGCAGCCACTGGGGCAGCAGCAGCAGCAGCAGCAGCAGCAGCAACAGCAGCAGCCGGGGCAGCAGCAGCAGCAGCAGCCGGGGCAGCAGCAGCAGCAGCAGCCGGGGCAGCAGCAGCAGCAGCAGCCGGGGCAGCAGCAGCAGCAGCAGCCGGGGCAGCAGCAGCAGCAGTAGCAGGGGCAGCAGCAGGGGCAGCAGCAGCAGCAGCAGCACTATCAGCAGCAGCAACAACGCGCAACCTCTCGCTCCTCCCCTTTTCTCCTTCCCTGCATGCACACCCGTTCCCTGGATCGTATCCTTGGGACCCCTCCTCTTCCTCCTCCCTCCCTTCAGCTCCTTGAGGACTCTCACGAGGAGTTCCTCACCATTCAGCAGCACACTCCTTTCCTTGCCACCCTCTTCCTTGACTTCCTCGGCTTTCCCGTCCTTAGCGCCACCTCCACCCCCACCAACTTCACTCCCACCACCTTCCAAGAGGCCATCACTTGCTCTGATGCAGATAAGTGGATAGCGGCGATCTTCCAGGAGTGTGAGACGTTTATCCGCAACGACTCATTCGTTGACGCCCCCCTCCCCGCTGATGCCAACCTTGTCGAGGGCAAGTGGGTCTTTCGGGTGAAGCAGCTGCCGGACGAAGACCCAGTCTACAAGGCACGCTATTGCGCCAAGGGTTTCACACATACGTTTGGGGAGGATTTCTGGGCCACCTACGCCCCCACCGCCAAACCCCCCACCCTTTGCGCAGCCCTCGACATTGGTGCGCGCGACAACATGGAAATTGACTCCACGTCTCCAACGCGTTCCTGCTGTTAGTGTTAGCCCTCAATCTCACACTTTGTACTTAATATTTTCTATATTCTAGAATAGTGTAGTTTGTACTTCGTGTTTGGTTGGGTGTACACCTACATCCCAACCAAACCCAAATGTAATCTCCAAGCAATCTCCAACCCACCAATTGGAGATTGCCTTGGGATTACCCCCAATCTTTAGGGATTGACCATGATTCCCTTCCCCATCCATTCCTTGCCCATCTACTTAAGGGGCTTCAAGCTCATTACTAATTCATCGGTTCTAAGCCTAAGTTGTGACACCTGCAGGGCGACTTGCACGAGCGCAATTTCCTTCGGCGACAACCTGGGTTCCACGCAGCCTTCCTTGAGAACACTGTCTGGCAACTGCGTTGCCCTATCTACGGCTTGAAGCAGGCACCACGTGAGTGGCATGCGAAGCTGGCTGCCACCTTAGGGTCTCTCGGCTTCTCCGCTTCGCACTCCGACGCCAGCCTCTTCATCCGCTCCTCCCCCCGCCGCTTCTTCATTCTGGTGTATGTGGATGACGTGATCCTGCTCTCTGACTCCAATGGCCGACATGGAGCAAATGAAGCAGTCCCTGCAGCAGCGTTTCAAGTGCAAAGACCTTGGCGCCCTCACTCACTACCTAGGCATGGCCATCACGCGCAACCGCCCTGTTCGCTCCATCACCCTCTCCCAGTCTCACAACATCGGCCAGGTCTTGGAGAAGTTCGACATGGCGTAGGCCAAGCCCGTGTCCACCCCTCTCCCTTTCGGCCACCAACTCGCTCCACCCACTTCTCCCACCTCCTCCCCTCACCCCTATGCCGAGCTCGTTGGGTCCCTGATATACGCGATGATTTGCACCCGCCCCGACTTCGCCTACCCCATCAGCGTGCTCGCTCACTTCGTTGGCACCGGTCGCCACACTGTGGAACACTGGAAAGCTGCCAAAAGGGTCCTCCGTTACCTTCGAGGGACCAAGGACCTTGCCCTCACCCTTGGCGGCCCTTCCCCTCCTCTTCTCTCGGGCTTCAGTGATTCCTCTTGGGCTGACACACAGCCGAACCGCCGCTCCTCCGAGGGCTACAGCTTTACCCTTGGCAGCGGCCTCATCAGTTGGCGCTCCAGCCGCTCCTCCGCCATCTCTCTCTCTCTCTCTCTATTTGCGAGGCCGAGCTCTACGCTGGCACTATGGCCGCCGAGGAGTCGCGTTGGCTCTGCTTCCTTCTTGCTAAGCTTGGCGCACCCCAGCCGTGCCCCACTTTCTGGTGCGACAATCCCAGCACCATCCACTTCACTCAGGATCCCGTCTATCTCGCCCGCTCCAAGCACATCGAGCTCCGCTACTTCTTCATTCCCGAGCTCGTCCAGAAGGGCCTCATTGCTGTTCGCAAGATTGCGGCTGAGGCCAACTTGGCCGACATCTTCACCAAGGCCCTCCTTCACCCTGCGCACTCTAATCTCCTCCGCCTCATTAGCCTCGCTCGCCTGGGCACCCCTTGATTAAGGGGTTGTTCTATTCTTGTGTTAGCATGCTAAGGGGTTGTGTTAGAAATATATATTTAGTGTAGCATGCCAACACTTGTGATTGTACACCAATTGTGGTGTACAGTTGGGTTGGGAACTTGGGACTACACCCAACTTTGGGTATAGTCTTGCATTGTGGGGTGCCAATCCACCCAATTGTGGTGGAGCCCCCAAATGCAACCCACTTGGCTTATGGTTGCCTCACTTCCCACAAGTGAGGTCAACCCAACTCGAGTGGGCCTAAGGTTGCCTCACTTCCACAAAGTGTGGGCAACCCAACCCACTTGACCTATGGTTGCCTCACTCCCCTAAGTGAGGTCAGCCCAACCTATGGTCATCCACTAATGTATGCTAGGCTTCTCCCCTACTGAATTCACTTGTTCAAATTACAACGTTCACAAGCCGTTCCATTTTGCCATATCAGTACCTAGTTGTTGTCAATACTCTAGCATCTGAGGGAAGGGCAGATAGAAGGAAGGGAAGATAAAAGAGTGCCTATAAATTTTGCCTTGTTTGCCTCATGAATGCTGAAGAGAGAAAAAGTCAAGAGGAGAGGAGGAACAACGGGGAGGAGGGAACACATCGGAGGTGTCTCAAGAAGAAACGTTTTTCTGGACTATTGGGTCTCTCTTATGAATCTGAAGTACATTGGGTTTCAAGTCAAGGTTTTAAGCTTCAGAACTTGGAGGGATAATGGATGGACAGGAAGCCATACTTGCTGCACGTGCTGCCAGTCTCTTGTGACCTTTTCGCCACCACAGCAGCACGCCAATGCCAATGATCAGCAGCATCACAGCAGCCACAGCAATGCCGGCAATGACTCCCACAGAGAGACCGCCTTCAGACTGGGAGGGAGGTGCTTCGAGTGAGAGGGGGTCGGAGGAGGATGATGGGGTCGGTGAGGGGGAAGATGGAGTGAAGGAGGGGGCAGCTGGAGGGGGTGAGGGTGGGCCTGTAGTGTGTGAGGGATGGACGGGAATAAGACGGACGCGGATGGAAAGACGGGGACAGGATGGGTTTGGAACGAATGTGAGAAAGATTGCAAACTAGTGGGGATGCGATGCATGGAATGGAAATTACAGCAGAGATGTGGCACTGATAGCATGTCATGTAGGTAGCACGTACATTTGGCCATGCAGTGCCATGTGGGCTAGTTGCGTTGGGAGGCATGTGGGCAGGCAGGGGAACAGCAAAAGTATGACAATATGAAATAAAAGTTGATGCTTGGGAAACATGAGAGAGAGAGGAGCAGACTTTCAATCAATTCTTCTCTTGTACTCTCCATTTATATATTAGAGCTCACGTGGTGTTGTCTTGTTGCAGGTGGAGCAGAAGGAGGGGCAACTGCCGCATAAGGCGCTTTGAGAGAATTGCTTAACCGCACATGGACTCTTGTTAGGCGGGCATGTGAGTGCAGTTAAGGACAGATTCCTGGATGGGCAGAAGGAAGAATTAGAGGGAAAACAGCAAAGAACATCACAGTGCTAGCGAAAAAGTTGGCGCTTGCTGGGTGGCTGGGTATTCGACTAAAAAACCAGCAAAGTTCCATGCACGTGGGTGCTCCCTAGAAGATCGAGAAGATGGGCTCTGTATGCTCGGCGTGCAGCACTTAGGGCAAACAAGAACAGAGCCTTTTATTTTTCTAATTCATAGTTTTGCGGGAAAAAAAAAAAACAAAACTTACAATGGACTAAGTTTGGAGAGTTTGCCCAGAGTTGGAGGGAGTTGTCCTGACAGATTGGTTCCTCTGATTTCCCTGCATGTGGAGCATTGTTGGTTGCACATACAAAGAGGTTGCAAACACATGGTCGGTTACATTTGTCACAAAACACAGAAATTCGTTTGCGAAACTCTGTTGTCCTGATAGACGTGGTCAATCCTTTTGTCTTGTGTGTTCTTGAAGGGAAATGGACATTATAGGGAGGATAATGATCGAGTCAACCAAAAAACCCATCTATCAGTTAACCTGAAGCCAGCTGGAGGAAAGTGGTGATTTTGTTCCTCGTTTCCAATCCAATTAAGGTCCAAGGCGAGGCATAGGGCTGACTTTTGAGAGGCGACTATTGAGTCGAGTCAGAAGTCGCCACCTTTGTGAAGTCCTGGCATAGAGCTGAGCAACGGTTTGACCCAACCCGCCCCGACTGGGGTTTGACCCGAGGGGGTAGGGCCTGGTAGGGTCGGTCCGGTCGAGTTGGGTCAGATCCGGTTGGGTCGGGTCGGGTTGGGTCGGGTAATGCTCCAGAGACAACGCGTGTGCTTTCAGCTCAAGAGGAAATGGGTGTGCTTTCAACTCAAGAAACAATGGGTGTGCTTACAAGGTTGTGAGCTGCAAGAGGTTGCCAATGGACTCTGGGATGCTGCCAGTCAGGTTGTTCCAAGAAAGGAACCTGGTGCAGACACGACAGTAGCAGGGAAGAAATTTCAGAAGACCATGTTGTACGTACTACAAACAAGACAGGTAATAAATGTGTTGAATCAACCTATACAATCATGAGCAAAGAAGGAAATCACTATACATTGAATCATGTGAATCTAGAATATATCAAGTGAACAGTGAAGTGTGAAACGAAGGCATGTGTGTCGATGACTTAGTGTTACTACAGATAATATTTAGAGGCTAACGAAGAAAATGCCTCACTGTTCATGAAAGAACTTACAAGTCACTCAAATAAACAAGGTTGCCTATCACTGTGGGTATCGACCCTGTCATTTTGTTTCCCCATAGAAATCTGCAATTTGTACCCCGGGGATGTCAAGGAACAATGCTGAGAACAGAGGATGCTTAGCATCTATCGGAAACATCTTTAATTTTATCTAATCAAGTAGGTTGTGGTAAAAAATGCTCCCAGGTCTGCATACATCATCAGTATTCAAGAAGGGATGTCAACTGGAAAGTGATGTTTTGGATCAAAGGCAGGCAGGCACACGCACAACGTGACGACGCGAGTAACCAATCGCCTCATTTTCTTATGTACCAAGGGCGAGTAGCAAAATGTGACGCAAATGACAATTCGCGGATCGGCGAGATTGGTTGCGAGTTGCAAGGTTACTTTGCTGCCATGCATGCAAATGTTGGACATAGGTTTACAAATTCCAGGCTCATCAGCTTGAACCTTGAAGTGAGCTTGCGAATCCTCCCTCACACTGGTTGAACTTTGGTTGCGTATAATGCACACACCTCCACGCCCTAAGGGCTCAACGTGGGAGAGGGTTGCTACGAGTCAACTCAAGGACCCTGACAGCCACAGCTGCAAGTCAAAATCAGGAATGAGAACATGACATGCAACTTTTTTTCTTATTCTTTTTTCTTTTTTATTATTTTTTGCGCCTTTGTTTCTAGAGAATGTTTCCGCTAAACAGTAGCTTTGATCCTGGCTCACACGTCAAACCAAGAAGGGACACACTCACAAGGCGTTCAGATTCATAAGCTTGCCAATGGAGTCAGGAATAGGGCCTGTCAAGTAGTTGTAGCCAAGGTTCCTGACATTGGAGGTATGATGATGGGAGCATGACAGCAGGCACATGTGATGAAGAAAAAGGTATCGGTGGCATGGCATAAGGTTACACAATATGGCAAGGAGCAGCACTTCCTACATCAGCATTGCTGGGATCTGATTCCTGCATTTTTAGCTTAGATAGTTCAACGTATTCGTATGGAAAATACTTCCACCTTAACATCTTGCTGCTTTCCTTGCTACCCATCGCACTGAGGTGATTCTTTAGGAGACTCAAAGATCACCATCAAAGAGCAGCACAGCATCTCTTACCATCTTTGCAGCATCTTGGCAATTTTCCTTGTTTTCCATCTCTAGCAGAACCACCACTAGCAATTTCACGTCCCTACAAACGGAGCTCTCAAAGCTAACTGTGGGAAATGAGCTTTGAAGGGAAAGTGATGGTTGGATTAGAGGAGGTGGTATACATAGGTGGAGCTAGAAGGAGGGTTGGTTGGCAACCATACTGGCATTATTGGTCCCCCACCAATAAGTTGGGTTGGGAAATTATTGGTGGGTCCAATAATATTGACCAATATTGGAGTTGGGTCAACATTATTGGAGGGGGACCAATAATCTTCCCAACCCAACCTTTAGGGTCCAATGATTGGACCAAGGCTGAGTTCCAACCCCTAAACTGAGGTGACCCTTGATTGTACACCTATCTCTAGCCTATCCTATAGCATATATGCAGGTTCTAAGCGGAGAATATTTCAAACACAACCTCTTAACCTGCAGAGATGCGGAAGGGCTGAGGAGATAGAGGGGAAGCAACCCCTTAATCAAGGAGCGCCAGGGGGAGCGAGGCCGATGAGGCGAAGCAGAGCGGAGTGCGCAGGACGAGGAAGCGCCTTGGTGAAGATGTCGGCCAAATTGGCCTCAACAACGATCTTGCGAACGGCGATGAGACCCTGTTGCAGGAGCTCACCAATGAAGAAGTAGCGGAATTCAATGTGCTTGGAACGGCCATGGAAGTCAGGGTCATGGGTGAGATGGATGGTGCTGGCATTGTCACACAAGAGAGTAGGACGACGTTGGGGGCACCAAGCTCGGCAAGAAGAAAGCAGAGCCAGCGAGATTCCTAAGCAGCCATGCTGCCTGCGTATAGCTCAGCTTCACAGGAAGAGAGAGCAATGGCAGAAGAGCGTGTGGAGCGTCAGCTAATGAGCCCGCTGCCAAGAGTGAAGCCATATCCTTGCGAGGAGCGACGGTCTGGTTGTGAGTCTGCCCACGAGGATTCGTTGAAGCCAGAGAGAAGGGGAGGAGAGGAGCCACCAAGGGTGAGGACATGGTCCTTAGTGCCGCGGAGGTAGCGGAGAACACGTTTGGCTGCAGTCCAGTGTTCCTTTGTGTGGCGGCTGGTGCCCACGAAGTGAGTAAGGACATTGATGGGATAGGCGAGGTTGGGACAAGTGCACATCATGGCATACATCAGCGACCAGACTAGCTCGGCATCGGGGCGAGAGGAGGAGGAGGGGTAAGCATTGGCAATAGACCCAGCCTGGCCCGACCCGACCTGACCCGATTTGGCCAGGCCAGCTGGGTTCCCAGGTCAGGTCGGGTCGGGCTGGGCTCAGGCCAAGCTGGTGGAGAGTCTCTGACCCGACCCAGGTCTACACACTCGAGGCAGCACTGACCCGATTCCGCGTTGGGTCGGGTCGGGCTAAGCTGACCCGCCCCTTTACACTCTGCACGCGACCCCCTATCTTAGGTATTGGCGTGCCTATTAACGATCAGGGGCCTAAGCCGAGCCGTGCAGCCTGTAGATGAAATCGCGCTAGTAAATAGCGAAATTGCATCCTACACTAGCACACAAGCGCAATCTACTTAAACTGCAGGTTGATGATCTAACAGTACCTTGTTACTAAGCTTAGGTGACGTTTGGCTATTTGGCGTGGGGAGTGATTTTGATGTCGAGGGGAACAAATTCCCCTCGACACCAAATTTGTTTAGGGTTTACAACCCCAGACTGTCGAAATCTGGTCGGGCTTCTGGTCCTGACCCGAATTCGGGTCGGGTCAAGCTTGACCTGAAACCCGGCCCGACTCGGCTCGAGTTCTATGCTCGGGTCGGGTTTTCGCCCGGGTCGGGTCGGGTCGGCCCGCACGGGGCAGGCCAATGAAACCTTTGACCCGACCCAGGCTAAACTGCGGGTCGGGTTGGGACGCCTCGGCCCGAGCGGGACCTCTGCTCATGCCTGAAGGAGGGAGAGGTTGGTGGGGCTAGCTGATGACCAAAGGGGAGGAGGTTGGAGACGGGCTTGGCCTGCGCCATCTCGAACTTCTCCAGCACCTGGCTGGCCGAGGTAGTGAAACTGGGATAGGGTGATGGTGCGGTCAGCTCAGTCACGAGTAATGGTCACGCCGAGCTTAGTTCTCCACATCGCCAAGGTCCTTGCACTTGAGGCGCTCCTGCATTGATCACTTCACCTACTCCATGTGGGCCTTGGAATCAGCAAACAGGATCATATCGTCGATGTAGACCAGAATGAAGAACCGACGGGGTGAGGAGCGGATGAAGAGGTTGGCATCGGAGTGGGACGCAAAGAAACCGAGGGACCGCAGACTGTCAGACAGCTTCGCATGCCATTCCCTTGGTGCCTGCTTCAGGGAATAGATTGGGCGGCGTAGTTGCCACACTGTGTACTAGGGAAAGGCAGCATGAAAGCCTAAAGGTCGCTTGAGGAAGTTGCGCTCGTGCAGTTCGCCTTGCAGGAACGCATTGGAGACATCCATGAAGCAAATTATCATGTCGTTACGAGCGCCGATGTTGAGGACGGTGCGAAAGGTGGGTGGCTTGGTTGCTTAAAAGTCCACAGCCCAATTCTGGGTAAAGCCCTTGGCGATGTAGCGGGCCTTGTAGACCGGCTCCTCGCCCGGCAGTTGCTTGACTCGGAAAATCCACTTGCCTTCAACCAGGTTAGCATCGGCAGGGTGAGGGACGTCGACGAAGGAATCGTTGCGAATAAACGCCCCACACTCCTGGAAGATGGCTGCAATCCAGTTGTCAGCATCAAGGCAGGACAAGAGCGCCGAGGAAGTCAGGATAGAGGGGGGCGAGGGAGGGAATGTGCTGCTGGACTGCAAGAAACTCCTCTTGGGAATCTTCAAGAAGGTTGAGGGAGGCAGTGGATGGGTACCAAGGGTGGGATCAAGGGAGCGGGTATGCATGCGGGGGAGGAGGAAGGGTGAGGAGCGAGTAGTTGCTCTTCGCTGCTGCTGCTGCTGATGATGATGTTGCTGGAGCCCCTGCTGCTGCTGCTAGTTGCTGGAGCCCCTGCTGCTGCTGCTAGTTGCTGGAGCCCCTGCTGCTGCTGCTAGTTGCTGGAGCTGGTGCCGCTGCTGCCGCTGCTGCCGCTGCTGCCGCTGCTGCCGCTGCTGCCGCTGCTGCCGCTGCTGCCGCTGATGCCGCTGCTGCTGCTGCTGGTGCTGCTGCTGCTGCTGCTGCTGCTGCTGCTGCTGCTGCTGCTGCTGCTGCTGCTGCTGCTGACGTGCCGACTGTTGCCCCGACTACTGCCCCTGCGAGTGATGCTGCTGCTGTTGCTTCTGCTGAGCCGACTGCTGCCCCTGCTGCTGCTGCTGCTGCTGCTGCTGCTGCTGCTGCTGCTGCTGCTGCTGCTGACGTGCCGACTGTTGCCCCGACTACTGCCCCTGCGAGTGATGCTGCTGCTGTTGCTTCTGCTGAGCCGACTGCTGCCCCTGCTGCTGCTGCTGCTGCTGCTTCTACTGCTGCTGCTGCTGCTGCTGCTGCTGCTACTGTTGCTGCAGTTCCTGCTGCTGTTGCTGCAGTTCCTGCTGCTGTTGCTGCAGTTCCGGCTGCTGCTCTGGCAGATGCTGCTGCGGTTGCTGTTGCGACGGTTGAGGAGGGGAGGAGGGAGAGGGAGGAGGAGGGGCAGTGGAATGGGCTGGTGAAGCACGTGCAGCAGGATCGTAGATGTCAGCAGAGGAGGGCGGAGGGAGCGGGGAAGGGAGAGGCGGGAGAAGGGGTGCAGGAGGGAGGAAGGGAGGGAGGACGGTGTCAGTTCAGGTGAGAGGGCGGGAAGGAGGAGGAAGGGGGTCAGGTGGAGGAGTGGAGTAGTAAGGGATAGATTCGTCAAAGACGACGTCGATGCTACGGATGAGACGTCCTGAGGGAGGTGGAGGAAAAGGTAGCAGGGTGAGTCGCGGTTGTGATTGAGGTAGCCACACTCCAGTGCACGAGAGACGTGTTTGCCAGTGGAGCGGTCAGGACGAGGATTTAAGCCGTTGGCCCAAATTGCACAAGTTTTAAAAGGTTGTCGCGAGGGGGTAATTCTGGTCTGGGTTTTCGCCAGACCCAGCCCGCCCTGGTATTTCGCCCTGGGGATTGGTTCAGTCCTCAAAAGTCCCAAATTGCAGGCGCGCTTCTTTTCAAAGCTTGCAAATACTACTTCGTCAAGTCTAAAAAGCTTGACCCGCTCTCTCCGCAATTTGGGCCGCGGGACGTACACCTTGCAGCCCTAAACACGGAGGCCCGCAGCATCGGGGTTTGGTGCCTGACCAGATTTCGGTGGGGGTGATGGTGGTGTGCTGAGGATGGGAATGAAGGTTAAGGAGGAGGGCAGCATGGAGTAGGGCATAGTCCCAGAGGGAAGGGGGAGTGGAGGCGTGAACAACGAGGCAGCGAGCGATGTTTGTGACCTCGCGAACTTGACTCTCTACAACGCCATTCTGCTGAGGGGAGTGGGGAAGGGTGCGGCGCAGTGGGAAGCTGGCGCCAAAAGCTCGCTGGGAACTTCACCTGGGTGTGCCGCCGGAGAGCAAGGGCTGGGAGGTGCTCGACCTGACCGACAACAAGGTAGTTGTTAGTGTTAGCCTTCAATCTCACACTTGTACTTTGTATTTTCTATATCCTAGAGTAGTGTAGCTTGCACTTTGTGTTTGGTTGGGTGTACACCTACATCCCAACCAAACCCAAATGTAATCTCCAAGCAATCTCCAACCCACCAATTGGAGATTGCCTTGGGAT